ACATCCAGGTCCTGTCAAAGTCTTTGGATTGTTGTGACCTTTTCTGAGATGATAGCGAGAATGTTTACATGAACGCCTGACAAAGTAATGGAAGTCTGCGATGACAAGAGCTGTCTCAACGAAGAAATACAAACTAAACTCATCCGCACCTTTTTAATTCCTTCTTGATCTGTTTATTTAGCCACAAATGCTTTTCCTTAATGCATTATAACCTTTAGTGAGCATTGATCGCTCTTAGACCTACATTACAACACATAAAATGCTGCTGCAAAAAATTGTTACGCAAGTACAACAACAAAATAAATTCTGTTTATTTGATTGCCTTATTGTACCAGTAAGATTTCAGCATATCAAAGCAATCATCACTTTCTTGTTAAATTTCACACTTTATTAACAGCCAGAACAATGACGAATTAACAGGCAGCACAATGCTTCTCCCAACATCCCCCATTTGTTGAGCTTGCTCATGCAGCCACTCTGCACTGGTAATCACCGACAAAATGGTGGCAAGCGAGAATCACGGTGTAAACTGTCTTCACTAGAAGTTATTCTTCCCATATTGTCATCCACATGCAGATGCAACTTTGCACTAAGGGCTGCACTCATTGTAAAATGTGATATGTTTGCTGTCATATCTATTATATGTGATAATTATTTGTTGTTCAGACATATGTTAGGCATTTTATTTGTGACATTCCAAACACAACACACCCCAACCTTTTGAAAGAGCAGAGAATAAGAAAAAAATTCTCAAAGAAGCTTTTAGGGAAAGTGTTTTGTCCCAATTTAACATTGTTACTGTCTTTGGCGAAGCTTCCTGAATCCCAGGAGTCCATCTTCAAACTGAGCTAATGGACACTTTAACCACCACTCTCCCTTTGCACCTTAAAAATGGAACCACTGCCCGAACCACCATACCCACTCCCACTTATCCCTTTGGTTACCTACAGATGATGTCACTCTCTCTACCCTGGGAGCTTGTGCACAGTTACGCATCTCTGTGTGCAAGAGCAAAAAAAAAAAAGCCTACCAAGGTCACTGCTCATTGATAAGACCTCGGTGGAGCGCTCATGTTATCTTTTTTTGCCTGGGGACTCCCCACAGCAGCCTGTACAATTAGCTATCTTCCTTGACACCAGAACCCCCACCCACCACTATAGCAGAGAGGACTGAACATCCAACCCAAACTCTCCTACCGGTTTTCAGTGGATGCTGAAAAATAATGCAGCAAAACAGTTGCTGAGTGCAAAAGACTATACCAGAAATTCTACATATGATATTTGTGAATCTAACTTAGTACATTCTGCAAAAAGCAAAAAAATAAAAAAATAAAAAAACCAAAGTGAAACACTGGGGATACATACAGGTCCGTCTCAAAAAATTAGCTTATTGTGATAAAGTTAATTATTTTCTGTAATGTACTGATAAACCTTAGACTTTCATGTATATTAGATTCATTACACACAACTGAAGTAGTTAAAGCCTTTTATTTTTTCTATTATTGTGGCAAACAGCTCATGAAAAACCAAAATTCCTCTAAAAAATTGCATGTTTCATCTGACCAATAAAAGAAAAGTGTTTTTAATACAAAAAAAGTCAACCTTCAAATAATTATGTTCAGTTATGCACTCAATACTTGGTCGGGAATCCTTTTGCAGAAATGACTGCTTCAGTGTGGCGTGGCATGGAGGCAATCAGCCTGTGGCACTGCTGAGGTGTTATGGAGGCCCAGGATGCTTCGATAGCGGCCTTAAGCTCATCCAGAGTGTTGGGTCTTGTGTCTCTCAACTTTTTCTTCACAATATCCCACAGATTCTCTATGGGGTTCAGGTCAGGAGAGTTGGCAGGCCAATTGAGCACAGTAATACCATGGTCAGTAAACCATTTAGCAGTGGTTTTGGCGCTGTGAGCAGGTGTCAGGTCGTGCTGAAAAATGAAATCTTCATCTCCATAAAGCTTGTCAGCAGATGGAAGCATGAAATGCTCCAAAATCTCCTGATAGCTAGCTGCATTGACCCTGCCCTTGATAAAACACAGTGGACCAACACCAGCAGCTGACATGGCACCCCAGACCATCACTGACTGTGGGTACTTGACAATGGACTTCAGGCATTTTGGCATTTCCCTCTGCCCAGTCTTCCTCCAGACTCTGGCATCTTGATTTCCGAATGACATGCAAAATTTGCTTTCATCCAAAAAAAAGTACTTTGGACCACTGAGCAACAGTCCAGTGCTGCTTCTCTGTAGCCCAGGTCAGTCGCTTCTGCTGCTGTTTCTGGTTCAAAAGTGGCTTTACCTGGGGAATACGGCACCTGTAGCCCATTTCCTGCACATGCCTGTACACGGTGGCTCTGGATGTTTCTACTCCAGACTCAGTCCACTGCTTCCACAGGTCCCCCAAGGTCTGGAATCGGTCCTTCTCCACAATCTTCCTCAGGGTCCGGTCAACTCTTCTCGTTGTGCAGCGTTTTCTGACACACTTTTTCCTTCCCACAGACTTCCCACTGAGGTGCCTTGATACAGCACTCTGGGAACAGCCTATTTGTTCAGACATTTCTTTCTGTGTCTTACCCTCTTGCTTGAGGGTGTCAATGATGGCCTTCTGGACAGCAGTCAAGCCGGCAGTCTTACCCATGATTGCGGTTTTGAGTAATGAACAAGCCTGGGAGTTTTTAAAAGCCTCAGGAATCTTTTGCAGGTGTTTAGAGTTGATTAATTGATTCAGATGATTAGGTTAATAACTCGTTTAGAGAACCTTTTCATGATATGCTAATTTTTTGAGATAGGAATTTTGGGTTTTCATGAGCTGTATGCCAAAATCATCAATATTAGAAACAATAAAAGGCTTCAACTACATCAGTTGTGTGTAATGAATCTAATATATATATATATATGAAAGTCTAATGTTTATCAGTACATTTCAGAAAATAATGAACTTTATCACAATATGCTAATTTTTTGAGAAGGACCTGTATAATGGTGCTATGTGTTCTTGGGTCCATGCCTACCAGAAGAAACCCAGATAACACATTTAATCCTTTAAATAAAAATGTTCTTAACAATTTTAATATTCAGTTATGTGATACGATTTTTTCTGTTATGTTTTTAGAAATCATACAATTTCAAAACTATGATAAAAACACCCTACAATAAAAAACACATGGCATGAAAACACTTTACTTCAGATATGTCATATAATTAAACGTTTTGAGAGAGAGAAGTAGTTGAAGAGTTTAATGACTAATATGTGTGTGTATTTTCCTTGGCAATAGGGAGCAGTACATACCTAAATCACTGCAAGCAAGCAGCTTTTTTACGACAGTTACAGAAGGCCATTGGGGTCAAAAAATCCTGGGAGTGCAATTTTCTAACATGTACTTCATCAGCTCATTCAACCTCCCTTTCATCACCGGCAAGAAGAGGTAAATGAAGAGGTAAATGTGTAAAACAACAACATTTATGAATGTCGAAAGCTCTGTAACCATTTGTTATACATCATTAAATGTGTTTTGTTTTCACAGACTTCCGTATAAGAAAACATTGTGTCAATTATGGGATCGCCCAGAGACTTTGGCCCGCTGCCATGTATTTTAGACCTGATTATTATGGGTATAGGTAATGAAGGCATCGATAATTTTTCAACTGGGCATCATTTAAAGGAGTCCAAGAATGTAATCAAACATTTTTTGTTATATAAAACCTGCTTGGGTTGTCTAGCATGTCAAAAAGTCAAAGCTGTGTGTGACCTACTTATTATGTTAATTAGAAAGTTGAAAAATGCGAGAGAAAAACTCGTTTTCTGAGCGAGCTTTCCTAGTCATGTCACAAGGTAACCACTCCTGCTACAGTTACATGTTCCAACCCACTTCAGCGTCAGCTGGTCGCAGCAACGCTACGGCAAAGCCTCGGTAAGCCAGGCCTCTGTTAGTACTACCTAGCTGTTAGCTTCAGCTAGCAACAGCCAAGTTGAAAAAGAGAAAAACAAGCACTCACCACTCAGGTTCCAGGATATACTGGTAAAATCCAAATTATAAGTGAATGTCAGAAAGATCCACAGCTTGTGGTCCGGCCCGGTACTTTTCTTCAATGTTAGCAACCCTTCTTACAGCCCTTCTACAAGCAGCCTGTCTTTGTCACACACTCATTCTTGACTCACTGCTTCAGTGGGGACATTTTTATCTTTTCAGAATTTTATGGAACAAATGAACACTTTACAAAATCACAAAATGTATGCAAAATTGAACACAGAACATGCTGGGATGCAAACATTTAATAATTTACTTGCAGTGCAAATACGATTTTTTTAAAGCCTTTTTGTTAAAAGATCCATTAATCAATGTTATGTAAGGCTTGAGTGGGATTTACTAAGAAACCCTGACTTTAGTTTAGTTTCTATCTCTCTTCAAACTACCCCAACACTCACACACATACACTAACACATACAAACGCACATAAACACACTGGTGAAGTGGGTGGGAAAAACAGGTCTTTTTATAATGAGCCCTATTATGTTTTTATGTTTATTTATTTAGCAGACGCTTTCATCCAAAGCGACTTACAATTTATAACCTATAGGGCATGTTGTGTTCTGTGGGAGAAACTGGAGTACCTGGAGCAGAGGCGGAGCTGGCCTAAATGGCGCCCTGTGCGAGATCCCCCGTGACGCCCCCCCCCACACACACACACACACACACACACACACAAACAAGAAAAAAAATTACACCTACAACTTTGTTTCAAATGGCGTGGAGTGTATTATATATAACAACGTTTGCTAACTGAATACAACATCCAGCTCCTGGCCACCTTCTCACCACTTGTCAAAGTTCTACTGAAATAGTGATGATGACAACACCTGCCATCGCCTTCATTCCTGGGAAATATGAAAGTAGTTGGCACCTTGGTAGGTCCTCTTCAAACTAGCTCTGTGCGTATGCTGTCGGTAATTGGTGATGGCCACTTGGCTGGGTCTGAAGAAAGAGGCTCATCATCAACTTCAATGGGACTCATTGGTTGATCGTTCAGGCTTCTCTATTGACAGAAAACAGAAGCGTAACTCAACACATTGCTTTGTGGACCATTTCACATGTTCTATTAAAATACAATATGTGACATTCAAATTCCTCTAATGTTTGCAGGACACACACACACACACACACATACACTTGTGCAAAACTTACCTGACATATCTTGTTGGGGAGACGTGGCAGCTGGCTGTCCCTCATCAAGTTCACATATACTGGTAGGTCTCTCTATTGACAGAAAATGGAAGCATAACTCACCACATTGCTATATGGAACAATTCCCATATTCTGTGAAAATACTATTTAAATGTCTATAGCTAAATGTTTGCTGGACACACACACGTGTGCAAAGCCCACCTAAAGTATCTTCCTGGGGAGATGTGGTGCCAGCAGACTGTCCCTCCTCAAGTTCAAATACTGGCCTACTGGTATGAGCAGTGGAGGTAGATGGCTGTTCCTCAGTGGCAGCTGATGACATCCCAAAATATCTGTGTAGGGCTCCTGATGTTGCATAAAACAAACAATACAATCTTCATGTCACGTCTGTTGCTTTAGCATTTTAATTAACGTTACAATGAGCATTTACAGTTTTCAGCAGTGGTGGAAAGAATTCAGAAAATCTGTACTCAAGTACAAGTACTGTTACATTGCTAAAATATTACTCATTTACAAGTAAAAGTACTGGTGTTAGAGAAATACTCAAGTAAAAGTACAAATTATTCATAAAAACCTCAGAGTATTATTTATTTTTGACGGCTGATGTCACCATCACTTCTCCAGACTGGGGCTGCCTGGAAATTGTGTTTTCCTTCACCAAAAGTTAAAACACCAACAATCTATTAATCATTAATAATTGATAAAATACAAAACAAGTGTTTTTCCCTAATTTTTTTGTCATTTTAAGTTTTTATTTCCTTATTCAGCAAATGTCTCCGGCACACAAAGAACTAAATGACCAGAGGAGCCACAACTATTGATTAAATATCCATGAATCCATTTTAACTGGTTAAATTCTTCAACTCTCCCACGCTGCTTCAAGGTCACTGTGAGTTTACATAGGCGCGGTGTGCTGTGCAGCACACTTAACGCAACACGATGACATCATCGACTTGTACAGTGCTGAAAGGCGAGACAGTCTCAACTTTCAGCTAAAAAAAAAAGACAGCTCTAGCTATTATAGTTTTTATTTTATGGCAGTTTACAGTTTAAACGGGATCTTACTAGCAGGGCACCTCCAGCGGCCCGCTGCCACTCCGTTTTTCGTGGGGTAAATACGTAGCTCATTTCCCGAGTCCAAATAGAAAGGCGAATGGCGCCGGCGCGAGACCTGCCGCCCGCCGTCAATGTATTTCAGCAAAATTCTCAAAGACTCATTTTAATTTGATAGCGTTTGGTTATCAGCCTATCGGTTTTCCCACTCTTAGCTTTTCATAAAAGCTCATTTGACAAAGAAAAAGCTAGCGGTTGGAAGTAGTTCTAAATACATGCAACGTAAGAAGCTAGCAAAAGACATTTGAAGGGATCATCATAGCACCATGCAAAACATACAGATTAGAGAGGTTAGTTAATCAATAAGTTGGGGGACAGGCGGGAAAAATACCAACTAAATAATAAAGAGATGCATACCTGCATCTTTTCCTCGTTTCTCCTCCTCTTCTTTTCTTTTTTTCCAAAATTGGGCACCAGATGGCTTCGATCGCTTCTTCTCCATTATGTTTGTGAGTGGTGATATGTGAAACGGTACCTGTATCCCTCCATCATCACTCTCCGAGATCCCTCCGCCCCCCACCTGATGAAGGGCGCTATAGAGCGCACTACAGCAACTACCCCAGCGCGGCGGACACAAGGGGGCGCAATAAAATCCCAATATAAACGCAAACAATGACTTTGTTGTGCTTTTACTACAGAAATATTATTATCATCACTATTATTATTATGAAGAACATGTGATTTATATGTTTTGTTGATGTATCGGTTGATGGAAGAAAAAAAATTAAATAAAAAACAACAAAAAAAAAAAGAAATTAAATGCAGCCCCCTCCAGACTGCCGCCCTGTTCGGCCGCACATGTTGCACATATCAAGCTCCGCCACTGAGCTGGAGGAAACCCACGCATGCATGGGGAGAACACAACTCCACGCAGAAAGGCCGCAGCCGAGTTTCGAACCTGCAACCTTGGTGGGACGAGGCAACAGTGCTAACCACTGCACCACCATGCAGCCCGTGTACCCATTTATTATGCGTGTACTAGTTCTCCATTTCTCAGGGCTCCTGGGACATTTTAAGCTCCAACAAAATTTGATATACTTTATAGAGGCTCAAAGATTAGCTTGTCTGGCATCAACAACCATGCCACGTTCAAAGTCACTTAAATCACCTTTCTCCCCGTTTCTGAAGCTTGGTTTGAACTGCAGTGGATCATCTTGACCATGTCAACACGCCTAAATACATTGAACTGCCATTATTAATTTGCATTAAAAAGCAGTTGGACTGGTGTGCCCAATAAAGTGGCCAGTCGGTGCGGAGGTTAGCATTCATGTTGTTTTTGAAAATAATTTCAGCTATCCGAGGTTATGATTGAGAAAAAGCGATTTATATTAATCACAGCGATTATTAAAGTTTAGCTATGTCCACACATCTCATTGTCAAACTGTAATCTGAACACAGGCTTTTTCACTTTTTATATTTCTTGTTAATATGGTCAAGGATTTTAAAATGTTATTAAATATTTTTGACAAAATAATCAAGTCATCTTAATAAATATTAGATTTTTAGGACTTTAGTGCCAACTTCAGTTTTCATTCTCTACTCCCCTTTTATTATCTAGAATAGCTTCTATGCCCAATAGTTATTTAAAACTCCATTTTTTTCTGCTTTGATCATACTAAAGTCACTATACCAAAAAGAAAATTGTGTTTTTTCATCTTTATAACCCAGGAAGTGTTTCACAAAGATCCTGGTGGCCTTGCTCTCTTTATTATTCTACTTTCTTTTCTTAATCAGAGTAAAATGTCTCCTTTCTTTATTATTTCAAGACACGCACTGAGCCAATTATCTAATCATTACGGCAAGGCAGGTGGTGCCCTAATACAAGATAATAACACACCTTGGGCATTCAGAGCCATCGTGGTGCTCAGGGCTCACACTGCTCTGCTCAAGCCTAATTGGGTTGTGGAATATCAGGAGATACGGGAGGGAGGGAAAAAATAACCACGCATAGGTAAAAGTGTTCTGACGAACTTGTGTGCTGCCGTTTTATCAAAAGACAGAGAGGGACATCAGCCTCAAAAAAAAAACAAAACAACTAGAGTTGGTTGAAAAATAAATCTTTTAATTAGTCTAATGATGTATAATAATGAGCAGCAATGATCATATAAACAAGTACTGGCAAATTAGAGGGATAATGGTAGTCCATTTGGAATGCTCTTCATCGACAACTTGATGAAGATACCAAAGCTTTAAATTGGTCTTAGATTTCAATACAATCAAACATCCAAATGATGGTCAAATCCTTGATGACGTCTTTGCTATCCAGACACCAGATAGCTTATTTTAGGAGGGCAGTTGTGCATGGCCAAGTAGCTTGGAGTTGTCTTGGCAGAGTGTGAGCAATGAAAGTAAATATTGTATAAAGCATGCAAGTTCTCACTGACTGAGCTTGTAAATATTAAGACTTGGATTTTTAAAAGAGAAACAGATTGGCTCAAGCCATACTAACAAGGTGGTGGCTAGTCTGGGGCCAAAGTTAAAATAAAAGAATCACTACTTCCACAACTTTAATCTCGATCATTTTAACATTCAATTTGAATGCAGCTTTACAAACGTTTTAGGCTTCTCTCTCCCCAGCCAGCTCCTTCAGGGGAATCCTAAGGCGTTCCCTGGCCAGCCGAGACACATAGACCCCTCTCGTGTGTCCTGGGTCTGCCCTTGAGCTCGTCCTTGTTGGACGTGCCCTGAAATCCTCACCAGGGAGGCATCCAGGAGGCATCCTAATCAGATGCCCAAGCCACCGCAACTGGCTCCTCTCAGTGTGAAGGAGCAGTGGGTCTACTCCGAGCCCTTCCCAGATGACCGGGCTTCTCACCCTGTCTCTAAGGGAGAGCCCAGACACTAGGGATGAGCAAGTACACCACTATCTGTATCTATCTGTATCTGTTCAACCATCTAAATGATCTGTATCTGTACTCTGAGTGGGTGTGGCCTAACCCGGAAGTGGGTGTAGTTTAACCGGAAGTGGGTGAGGTTTATATCAAAATGTTATTTTAAGTCTGATCAGAAGTTGCTATGTGTATTGTTTATTTGAAAACTATATACAGAGCAGCCTCAGAGTTGAGATTAAATGTTTTTGATCACAATAGTAAAGGAACTATTACAGAACAAGTTTTTCAATAAAATCAGAACATTAATATTTAAGTGCATGAATTGAGAGAGAGAGAGAGAGAGAAGAGAAGATCTTTTCTATAGCACCTCTCAAGATAAAAATCACGAGGCGCTTCACAAAAACAAAACCTGTAAAATAGACAAAAGAATTTAGAAAAATGATTAAAATATATTCAAAATGAGCAAAAAATAGACAATTGTGATTAAAAATGTAAAGAGAGAGAGAGAGAGAGAATAGGAAAGAGGGAGTGGATCCTGAGGAAGAGGAGAGAGAGAGAGGGAAAAAAACCAACCGGAGCGGAGGCAGTGACTGGCGCAGCTCAAGCCGTTTTCAGCTCTGTCTTGTCAAATGCACCACGTACGTTACGAAAAAAGTAACTTTAAATAACTTTAAAGTAACTTTAAAAATAATCAAACTGAAGAAAACATAGGGAGTACTGAAGAAACGTGAACAGTGAAGCAAGCACAGAGAGGTTCGTTACTGCCTGTGTGTGTGTGCGTGGATGGACCGGACGCGGACTGAGCTGTGAGCTCCCGGCTGCAGAGTTTTGTGTGTAGGGAGGGGCGGGCACTCCATTTGACTGGCCAATTACAGAGCGTGAAGACAGTCAGTTACCCAATGAGGATTTTCCTTCAGCACGATTACAGATATTTACGATATTTACTCGTTTCATGCTCGTACTCGTCAAAAATGCTTTATCCATACCAGATACTCGTTTCAGACACCCTGCAGAGAAATCTAATTTCAGCTGCTTGTATCCACGATCTCGTTCTTTCGGTCACTACCCAAAGCTAGTGACCATAGGTGAGGGTAGGAACGTAGATTGACCGGTAAATTGAGAGCTTCGCCTTCTGGCTCAGCTCTCTCTTCACCACGACAGACCGGTACAACGCCCGCATCACTGCAGATGCTGCACCAATTTGCCTGTCGATCTCATGCTTCATCTTTCCCTGACTCGTGAACAAGACCCCGAGATACTTAAACTCCACCACTTGTAGCAAGACCTCTTCCCTGACCTAGAGAAAGTATTCAACCCTTTTCCGACTGAAAACCATGATCTCAGATTTAGAGAAGCTGATTCTCATCCCAGCTGCTTCACACTCGGCTGTGA